GCATCGTAACAGAACTTTTTACTACCCTACTTACTGCTTCAAGCTCTCTCCATGTAGAGCTTTTAACACTTTCAGATACCGACCAGTTACTAGTCACAGTTATCAAACTGTTATTGGGAACTTCTAGACCACAATCAGTTATTTTCATAATACAATCAGAGACACAGACAGACTATGTATCAGCTGGGACTACATATCCCCCAAAGCCGACATCTGAAGCGTCAGTATACGCCATAAAATCACAAAAATCTGACTCATGCAGATTTAAACCCTTTCTATTGAACTTTCGTAAGTTCTCAAACCAAAAATATAGCTCTTCAATAGCAAAAGAATTCAATACTACAAGTGAGTTCCAACTTGCTCTCATTATAAGACAATTGTAAAGTTCTCTAGTTCTAAGTCTACAAACATTTCCCATTACAGTCATCATTGATATTATTTGTCCAACAATACCAGCCACAAATCTAGCATTGTACAAAAGCTTGCCTTTACCTATATTTTTCAATGTTTTGTCAATAACCGAAAGAAGTCTTTCGACTCTCTCCTCGGTAATACTCAATTTTCCAAATTGCATTTCCCAAAATAACCCTATCCAAGTAATATTCTGTACAGGCAACCATATACATTTCTCTTCTGCTATTAAAAAACCAAACTCTGTCAAACTTTGTCTTATAAAAGTGCTAACACGTTGTGCGCATTCGAAATTACTGTCTCCACCCAAACCATCATCTAAATACATTATGATTCTCAAACCTTGACTCCTCCAATACTTAACAACTTCTTTTGTAAGTTTAGTGAATATATGACCAGCACTAGCAATTCCAAAAGGAAGAACATTAAATACAAAATATCTGGTTGTCCCTTCAAAATGCCAACTAAAACCTTAATACTTTCTGTGATCTGGAAATATTTCTATATGATGATAGGCGCTTTTTAAATCAAAACGAAACAGATAATTTCCTTTATTAAATAGTTGCTTTGCAACTGACCCATCCTCAAACTTAAATTTAAACTGATGTATGCACTCATTGATGTGTCTGCAATCAAGAACCAATCTAGGTTTTGCTGATCTGTTATATGCCACCGTTAGTGGATTTACTACATACGGTACTTCTTGTACTTCTGAAATACACTTCTTTTCTAATAATTTAGAAATTTCAGCATTTACAAAAACAGAATTATCTAAAGATGATTTATGATTTCTGAGAACACAGCTATCTGGAAGAGTTTTAAACAGTATACCATAACCTTTCTCGATTACTTTTAAAATGTACTCACTTGTACCCGACTCCTTCCATTTGTGTATTGCTTTATTTAATTTACCTACTGGTGTCAAAACATTCACCTGTAAATTTAAATGACCAGACGTCTGGTCATTAGTACCCTCGTCATACCTGACTGAACAGTTAACACAATTGACCATTGTTTCGTTTACCTCTGTGAACAGAATTCATTAAACGACTCCCCCCTTCTAAATCAAAATTTGATTTGTAGCTTAAATCCCAAGCTAAATTACAACAGTTATCAAAAATTTTACTTAACTTTGGACGTTTCTTTTCAGGACACTCATTCTGCCAATGACCAGGCTTGTAACAATTGTAACACACACCAGGCTTGTAACAATTGTAACACACACCAGGCTTCCTTGGTACCGTCTGTCGATCTCTACTTCCACTGGAACTCGCTTGTTTTACATAAGGGTCAGCACGGGATCTTCTCTTCACTCTGTCTGCTTTGATCTTCCTTTCAGCTCTGTTTTGTGCCCGAAATATCTTTCTGTCGTCCTCGGAATCATCAGGATTTGCAGTATACTCCTGCACCAATTTCCACCCACATTCTGAAGAATCTGCCATCTTAACCAATTTTTGCCGATAATTCAAAAGTTCAATATCTTCAGATATCTTCTGTTTAGCCCTCGCGGAAAATGGATCTTGTGGCTCTATAACAGCTTCTGCTTCTTTCAAAGCAATGGACACTTTCTGGTTAAACTTATACTGATCTTCACAACTCTTCCTTTGGAATTTATAACTGTCTGTTGATAAAAGATCATTATGAATACGGTTGAATTGTGCGTCTGAATGTTCTTTCTGTTGTTGATCATATACTTGAAATTTAGAAGTAAATAAACTGTCCAACTTTGATAAAAATTCATTCTGCGATCTATTTACTTCTTCGCTAACGATACGCTTAACATTATTTTCTAAGTCATCCATAGCGTGAACGGCACTCACAAAATATGATGTTCACAGTACGAAGTACAGGCTAGAATTAACTATATAAAACCCTCGCTTTACAACCTAATTTTTTGGTGCCAAAAATTCCTACGCCTACACTTACATGTATTACACATGCGCAAGAAGACAATCAATTCCCGTTATACTTATGTGCCTCGGGAATTTTTTTATTTGATAGAGCACCTTTGAAATGGAAGTGTGTGTGATCTTATTTATATTTGTTTGATTAACCATAGTTTGCCTTGCAAATTTATACATCATATGTTTTGAAATGAATAGATTTTTAATCGGCAGTGATTTGCTCATTCCTAAGCTAACAAGATTTGTTTATTTTTGCCAGACAAACTTAGGTTTTACTTTACCAAGACAGATTGAGTAATTGTTCTGTTATTACCATTGATACTGTCAATATAGCCTTTGAAATTGTAACACTTGGAGATAAAAGTTCTGTTAGAAGCTATTGACACATTTTTAAAGTTTGTGCAGGATGCCATTAAGTCCATTTTACAAATATTCAATTTGGATGCATTCCGTAAAGGGGGATTGTTTTCGATGAACTTAGGTGGCTTTTGATATAACTTAGCATTTTAATATATGAATTTATTTGTAGGTTTTCAAACCATAAATCTTTTTTTATTTTTTGCTGGACTGGAACTTTTACTTTTTATCTTTTCAGGTTGTATATTTCACAGCCACATTCCCATATGTTATCTTGTTGATTTTGTTGATCCGAGGAGCTACACTAGATGGTGCTATTGATGGAGTAAAATATTTTTTGATACCTGAATGGTCCAAACTAGCAGATCTAAAGGTATATATATGAGTCATGATTGTAAGATATACTTACAGAAGTAGTGGTCATTATCATCATAGACAATTGTTTTGAATTTTGTTTTAAATTCAATTCCCTGTGTTTGTCAATTAATTATAGTGTTTTTTTTATACCATGGGTACCTAAAATTTGAGAAGTCCTATATTTGATTTGTAACTCTTTCAAGTTGGTACCTAGCACTACAGGGAGATAACTCTGTAAAAATCAGCTGAGTGTTTTAATAATGTTGTATTATGTTAAGGAAATATTAGGTTCTCAATGATCAGAATTAGTGTTTGTCCAACTGCTATATATCCAATGAAATTTTATAATCAAGGTGTTTGGTACCACCTTAAGATTAATTTGTAAATATTTTTAAATTAAAATACAAATGATTGCCGATTGTTTATTTATTTCTATTGAAAGTAATGAAAAAGCCAGAGAATTACGAACGCTGGTTATTCCAGGTCAATATATCCGAAAGCGGGAGAGGACCGGCAAGCGGGAGATTTCCGGAATTTCGTCGTTTGCGCGGGAGACTCCCGCTCAAAACGGGAGGGCTGGCAGGTTTGCTTCTATGCTGGGGGCAATTTATATTTCAGCTTGTGAGTTTCAATGATACCTTATGAGGGGAAACTAAGGAGGTTGATATTCCTGACTGCAGACTATTTACTATGAGATATATTGTTAAAAGTTCCTTTACCAATGTCTGTCTAGTACCACAATATGTTTTAGGGCCTTCCATTGCTTTAATAGCCCTGAAAAAATTATAAAGGAAAAAGTTTTACTTTAATTTGAAGGACATATTTATTTTATCTTTAAAATTATGTATTACAACATATATATGTAAGACTCAGATCGACGTCCGTTCCTCAAATCAACGTCCAAAGCTGACATCACAATAAAATAAGATTCCAAATCGTCCGTTTTAATGGACCTATGGAAAGATGCAAACGCCGAGACATTTTTGGCCAGCATGCCGTATTATACGGAAATATATCTAAAACAAATGAACAAAACTGCGGAAATGGGGACAAGCAAAGTTTATAACAGAACTGAAATGTGGATTGTCCGAGAAGAATAAATATAAAAAAAGTAGTAAAGACAGTTCTAGGTCAATATTTTTACAACCAAAACATAGGTTATGTGACAAATAAAATATATTAAAAAATCTATTTTTTTAAATGTATTTCCAATGTTAACAGGTTGTGATATCAATTTTTATGTAATTTAAGAGCTTATTAAAAACAATGAGATGTGGTGAGATTGCTAATCGGACAACTATACACCAGAGTTCAAATGAAGTGAATGTAAGCAATTATATAGCCCTTTACCTTTATAGCTTGCTGTTCTGTGTGAGCTAAGGCTCCGTGTTTAAGACTGTATTTTGACCTATAATGTTTTTCTTTTATAAACTGGGACTTGGATGGAGAGTTGTCTTTTTGGCACTCATACCACATCTTCTTATATCTATACAGTACGTCCTTCAACAATGAATCATGGAATGATAAAGTCGGCAATTAAAGGTCACGACATGAAACATTTAAAACAATTATTATAGAACTAAAAACTAACCTATAACAAAAAAAATTCTGAACAACAAATATGCAAGACATAAACCAACGACAACCACTAGACTACAGGCACATAAAATATTTGGCAGGGTTTAACATGTTTGTGAGCACTTAAGCCTCCCCTAACCTGAAACAGTGGTGTAACAGCACAACATAAAAACATAATGCCAATTTATTTTGTATATTTTTCACTCCAGGTGTAAAACAAATGAATTTGTTGAAAAAATTCTTACAGAGTCCAAATTATAATACTCTAACAGTTGGCATTTACTTCTTTATTTTGTCCATTGTTGAAGACTGAGTGTTGCCCTATATATATGTTGTTTTGTTTTCTTTGTCGTTGGGTTCTTATTTAAGTATACGCATATGCCATTTATTAATATGCATGTACATGTATAAGTGTAAGTGCAGCAATTTCTTTTTTTATTATTCATTGATATTGAACATCGATAAGAGAAGACTACAATAAATCGGACATCGTTTTGGCAATACATGACGGCACATTGGACGTTGATTAGAGGATCAAACAATTGGACGTCGATTTGAGAATGTGACGTCCGAATTGGACGTCGATTTGAGGAAAGGACGTCGATTAGAGACCGGACGTCGATCTGAGTCTAACATATATATAATTTATTTATTATAGGTATGGGTTACTGCAGCAGGACAGATGTTTTTCTCTCTCAGTGTATCGTTTGGTGGAATTATAATGTTTGGAAGTTACAACAAATTCAGCAACAATGTATATGGGTAAGATTAATTTTCCTTGACAGAAAATTTAAGTCTTTATTTATATTTATATGATCAAATATGATGGGATGTAATGTTATTAACATGGTTAGTTATTTTTTGGTAATTATTTTTATTATAGTTAACTATTACCTTCTGTCTGTCCAATTTTGTTTCTGCACTCTTAACTCTAAAGCTTGCCTCATCCAATTTTAATGAAACTCATACACAGTGCTACAAACTAATGAAATTCATACGCAATGCTTACAGACAGTTTGAATTTGGGTAGTGATTCATTTACCGTTCTAGAAATAGATCCCTTTTAACTCGAAAATTGCAAAGCTTGAGCATGGCATTTGTGTGACAAATTCTTTTATTTCTAGCTTCATCTGTAGGGCCTTTATAGTCATGTTTTATTATTTAAACACTGGTTTATATTTATAGTGATGCCTTGTTAATCGCTGTAATGGATCTGGTTACCAGTATAATAGCAGGTTTTGCAATCTTTACAACATTTGGAGGATTAGCTAAGAAAACAGGACTTCAAGTCTCAAAAGTTGCCAGGGGAGGTAAGCAAGGATGTTTTCCATTTTTAATCAAACCTTACTTTTCAATACATTGTAGATCTAGATTATGGAATAGATTTAGATGAAGAAATAGTTTGCCATAAATTACTTTGTAATTTTCTTGTAGCATGCCTTAGGTCTTTATTTGTAAAGCTATTTTAAAATTTAAATTCTAATATGACAACCTGTTATCGTCAACCAGTATAATCATAGTATATCTACTTTTAGCGCAAGCACATGACTACATAAAACTAGCTGTTCCGTGTTACGCCAAACTTAATTATACTACCAGGTATTCTCAAATTTTGACATTAAAACCCACAGATTATAGTCTAAGATTCAGATACCATTTAGTTATATCTATTCTAATGCAAAATAAACATATCAGTCCATTTCAATTTATTTTTTTCGTGCTGAAATTTCATCAAAGGAAAATTTCATGAAATATTATCGTCTTTGCATGGCAATGAAACAAGGTGACATCATATGTTTGTTTTCGTAATCAAAAAATCAAATGTAAACACTCAGTGTTATAAAGCTTCTATACATCTCAGAATGCAATAAAATTACATTAGAAGAACATATGTAGGTGAAAAATACGATTTAAATTTTTTTTTTTTATTAAATTATATAATATTATCATATGGGGGTAAAATGGAACAGCCAAAACAGTATCTTGCGTATAGGGCTATCACAGTTAACAAAATTACTGAATTTGTCCCATTAGAATCCAAATAATTCATGGCAGCTGTAGATTTGTGGCTGCCATGAATTATTTGGATTCTAATGGGACAAATTCAGTAATTTTGTTAACTGTGATAGCCCTATACGCAAGATACTGTTTTGGCTGTTCCATTTTACCCCCATATGATAATATTATATAATTTAATAAAAAAAAAAAATTTAAATCGTATTATTTCTTAATTCATATTTTCCTTTAAGATTTTAATCAAAGATGATATTTGATATTGAATTTGATACCACTGAGACTATCACAACAATTCAGAAATGATCCTCTGTTCAGAATCTGTTAAAACAAACAAAAAAATCTCTAGTAGAAAATACAATTCATTAATTATATTTTTTTCTGTTACAGGTTATGCATTAGCCTTTGTAGCCTACCCTGAGGCATTGTCTAACCTACCTCTACCTCAATTATGGTCTGTTTTGTTTTTCTTCATGTTGTTTACACTTGGACTTGACAGTGAGGTAAGACAGATAGTTGTACATTTTATTTAAAGGAAAAGGATTATCTCCCCTTTGCACCTATAAATCGTGTTTAATGGTAATATAAACTACAGGAGTACTTTTCTAATAAATTTTGTAAAAGACCAGGACTTTTTTCTAATTTTTGACTGGAAATAACCCATCTATTACATTAGTATGATAATTTCGTCTTATACTCTTAACAAAACTTGAATATTATTCCCAACATTTTTTTTTTAATTTGTGCAATGATAATAATACTGTGGATTCTTTTATTTTTAATGGATTTAGGAATAATTATATTGTTGTGGACTATTTCTATGCAAACCTATAGGCAAGTTTTATTTTATAAAGCATTGGTTCCCTGTGAAATACCAACAAGTCCAGTTTGTAAGATAGTCATAGATTAGTATGAAACAGAATCAACTGTTACAGCCGATTCCATTGAGTGTGTAGGCAAAGGTAATATCTTTGGTTAGCTTGCTTGCTAGCTGAACCATGAAGTCATTATAAGGTAAGGTATACTACCCTCCTTTCAAAGTAGCTTAGTCCTACAAACAGGTAATCTATCGGACTAGTCTACTCTTAAAAGGAGGATAGTTTACCTAACCTAGTCTTCACGGTTCAGCTAGCAAGCAAGCTAACCAATACTATTACCTTTGCTTACACACTCATTGAAATCGGCTGTAATTCTTTGAGTTTTGTGATATGTAATGCCTATTTTTATTTTGCAGTTTGCTTTATTGGAGACAGTTTTGACATGTATACAGGATGAGTTCCCAAAACTTAGAAAATATAAGAGTCACATGTGTATTGGATTGGGAGTGATATGTTTCTTTATGGCTTTACCATGTATAACACCAGTAAGTATAAAAGTCATATGTGTATTGTTGAATTGTGTGTTTCTTGGCTTTGAGGTGTGTTATGCAAGTGAGTATTATAGTCGTGCTCATATGTATGTTTTGGTGCACATGGTGGGTTTCTTCTTGGCCTTGACATGTTACACCAGTAGCTTTAAAGTCTCATGTGTATTTTATTCTTCTTGAACAGTAATTATTTTATTTTCTGCTCTTTAACAAAATGTCTATTTTATCTAAATTGATATTAAATGTATCATTGAAAATTCTAAAAAAAAATTGTTACAATATAAGGGAAATAACTCTGGTACTTTTTTGTTTATACTATACAAAACAGACTCTACTTTTATAAGCAATTGTGAATAAAATAATGTAAAGAAGATTTAAACAAATTGTAACGAAATTGATATTGTTTTGAAGGACAATGCAAGATGTTTTTTTACTGTGGCAAAGGGTAGAGGAGTACAAAATGTTTCTTGATAAAATTTAAAAAGATACAGTGAACACCAAAATGACAATCGCTATTTTAGTTTAATAAGAATACTTAAATGGCTAAGAGTGCATAGTATGAGGTAAAATAACAAAGAATTTGACAAAGTTTAAAGTCCTTATAATATTTTTATATAGTTGTTAAAATATATTGAAGTATTTGTGCAGAGTTTTAGATATTAAGATATTGTTTAGTTCCAAAATTGGAGACTGATGCAAATTGACTTGAGATTATCTCTAAAGAATTTACCGTAGTCTAATTAGATGAAGTGGTTTGCATGCATTGAACTCCGTCTTGTTTGTAAATGATGTTTTATTATTTTTACAGACAGGAGATTATATAGTAGGATTGATGGACAGTTATGGCGCTGAATGTGTATCCGTACTATGGGTTTATGGAAAGTCATTTCTCTGTATTGTGTGTAGCCACTTGTGAATATGTATCCGTACTATGGGTTTATGGTGAGTGATTTCTCTGTACTGTGTGTAGCCACTTGTGAAAGTGTATCCGTACTATGGGTTTATGGTGAGTGATTTCTCTGTATTGTGTGTAGCCACTTGTGAAAGTGTATCCGTACTATGGGTTTATGGTGAGTGATTTCTCTGTACTGTGTGTAGCCACTTGTGAAAGTGTATCCGTACTATGGGTTTATGGTGAGTGATTTCTCTGTATTGTGTGTAGCCACTTGTGAAAGTGTATCCGTACTATGGGTTTATGGTGAGTGATTTCTCTGTACTGTGTGTAGCCACTTGTGAAAGTGTATCCGTACTATAGGTTTATGGTGAGTGATTTCTCTGTATTGTGTGTAGCCACATGTGAATGTGTATCCGTACTATGGGTTTATGGTAAGTCAGTCGTATTTTCTGTGAACAAGGAAGTTAAAAGGGTTTTAAATGAAGATGAACATCATGTTTCTTTATGAACATATGAATGAACCCTAAACTTTAAATCAACAAAAATATTCATGGCCAAATGAATTTAAGATGATTTTTTTTTTTAACAATTTTCATGATTTATCATAAATCAAGCAGCTTAACATGAAGATCAAGAAATAAGATTTGGTATGAGTGCCAATGAGACAACTCTCCATCCAAGTCACAATTTGTAAACCATTATAGGCCAAAGTACAGCCTTCAGCACAAAGTCTTGGCTCACACCGAACAGCAAGCTATAAATGAGCAGTGCAAAACCATTCAGACATGATTGTCTAGTCGAAGTAGGAATGTTCAGTCCATGGCACAATTTAGAGAATGCCATGCTGTTACACGACAACACACTTGATGTATACAAAGCTATCCGGTTCTAACTCAAAAATTCTTCCCTAACGTATATTATTTGTTTTAAAATTTCAGTTTGAGTTATCTGCCCTTTATTCTTATCAACCAACTTTTTCATCAGATACTTTAAATTAATTATTATTCATACCAAAAAAAATTGTTCTTTTTACTTTTTTTCACAGATGAGTGACAAGATTTATAAAGATATTGAATTTATGTTGGGTAAAACCCCAGCACCAACAACATATTGGTTGTTTTGTTGGTTGTCAGCTTCACCACTTCTTATTGGGGTAAGTAATATACTGTTCAGAAATTATTGCGAGGACTGGGTGCGATTGCAATAATTACATGCATTATGACACCTGATGCATATATATTTATGCGGATTAGACTTAATTACAATAAATTTCAAATTTTTATCCACTTTTAAAAAATCGCAATAATAAATGCATGCAAAAATTTATGAATATACAGAATTTCAGGTTTAATCATCTTTACTCTATGTATAAAACTTTTAGATATTTTTAAAATAATCTGTATATCAGGAAATATAAAAAAGTTGTGGTATGATTGCCAATGAGACAACTCTTCACAAGAGACAAAAATGACACAGAAATTAACAACTATAAGTCACTGTACGACCTTCAACAATGAGCAAAGCCCATACCGCATAGTCAGCTATAAAAAGCCCCGAAAATAACAATGTAAAACAATTCAAAAATGTTTTTATGAGTATTTGAAATCTTTTCAAATATACTCTTCTTAACATTTTTATACTTCCTATTTAATTGTATTGTGCATAGCTATAGGTAGTGCACAACAGAGATCAAAATGCTCAATTGTCTAAGGGCCTATATTGTGATAAAAATCAGCACAAAATTCCACAACATGCTGTGATCAGTACAAAATACCACAACAACCAACAACATCCCACTTCTCTGGAAAAAAAGAAAGGTTCAAGCAAAAGTAAACAAAAACATATAGTTAACTATTACTAAATTAAATACCATGCATCTAGGAATAAAAGAAAAGAGGAGGTCTTATATAGTGTAAAATAATATTTTAAGACTATTCTATATTTCATTCATTACTTGTTTTCGCTGCTCATACTGAATAAATTTTACAGATTTTTGACAATTTATGTTGTTGAGGAAAAGCTACATGGTCTGTTTGTATACTATGAGATTGACTATGTACCTAAATTAAAGTAATATTTTAACCATTGCTTATGTATCATGTTGACTTTACATTACAGGGTCTGTTTGCATACCGTCTAATCGAGTATGTACCACCTAAACTAAAAGATGGAGTATTTTTCCCAGAATTCGCCCAGATTATTGGATGGTGTGTGACTGCCGTAGTGTTATGTCCTATACCTTTGTACTTTGTTTATAAATTCATCATCACTCCTGGGAAAGTCACTGAAGTGAGTATACACTGAAATCTTCAATTATTTAATTAATTGTTTTTTGGCAGTGTTGCTTTATAAATAGCACAGTGTTGGATTTAAAAATTAAGAATTTTATTCAATGAAACATTGGGTACATGTGCTAAAGATTGCAATTGAATTTGCAAGGTAACTAAGTTGTATTTTGAAACAGGACAGAGACAGAGACCAAAAAGGTCTTCTTTGTGAGAGTTGCTCACTGTGAAATGCATTATTGTTTTCAAAGAATTTTTGGTTCAACTATCTATACAAAACTCATGAAAATTAGTACTCCATGAATTATAATTGATTCACAGTAATCTACATTTTTGATAACCACCGTAGATAACATTGCACCAAACGTCAACTTAACCACATATTATTGCACCAAACATCAACTTGACCACATATTATTGCACCAAACGTCAACTGGACCACATATTTGCACCCCAAACGTCAACTTGACCACATATTATTGCACCAAACATCAACTTAACCACATATTATTGCACCAAACGTCAACTGGACCACATGTTATTGCAGCAAACGTCAACTTAACCACATATTATTGCACCAAACGTCAACATAACCACACATTATTGCACCAAAATGTCAACTTAACCACATATTATCGCACCAAATGTCAACTTAACCACACATTATTGCACAAAACAAACGTCAACTTAACCACATATTGCACCAAACGTCACCTTAACCACATATTATTGCACCAAACGTCAAAATAACCACATATTGCACCAAACGTCAACTTAACCACATATTATTGCATCAAACATCAACTTAACCACATATTATTTATATTTACAGAGACTTGGAATAGTAACAACGCCAACAGCTGACTGGGGACCTAATACCAAGGAAAAATTATACAATGCTGACTCACAGTTAACAGACATTGGAAAAGCAGCTTACGCTTATGACATGCAATCCAGCTTCACAATTATAAACTATAGCAATATTAGAATCATAAAGATTGTGTCTCTTTAAAGTATATTTCAAAATGAATTTATCACACATAGTTTCAGGGTACTTGTATAACAAAGAAATGCAGAGCTATTTTTAATTTTTAGTCAGTAGTGGAGAATTTTGTGAATATGACAGAAAACCATCACAAATATATTGTAAATAGGTCTCCCTGACTTTTTTCAGTATTTTAATCAATTCCAACATAATTTTAGTGCTGAATTTTGAAATGTACATAGTTTTACATCTTTTTACTATATAAATGCAAGATTTATAAAATGTTTTTAAAGTGAATTTATGGATTCAGTTTGAAAAATTACATTTCTTTGATTCTATATGACATTATTTTTTAACTTAAAACTCCTTCATTTTTTATAAGTGATTTTTTTAAAAGGGATGAATTGAGAAATTTTATGATTTTAAATTTTGTTTTGGTTAAAGACTGCTTTTTTTTAAAGATGAATATTAAAGATAGAATTGTTATAAAACTAAATACAAAAATCTGCCTTTCTGAAAGTAGAATGAAGTTATAAAGTAAAATAATGATTTTGCTAATATTTCAAATGTTGCATACAATAGATACCTCATTTGTGTTATAATTATTTTTAGGAACCAATTCATTGAAATGTTGTAATTAAAGTTTTGTCTTCTCTTGATTGTACTTCAATACAGAATAAACTGTGTTTTCAATGCAGGTTAACTTTGCATCTCAAACTTTAGTTACACAAATTATTAATCATCCAGATTTACCTTAATTGAGAAATTTTAAATTTTGGAAGCAACGAAACAATATTTTCTTTTTTAGTTTGAATCATCAAAAAGATTTTTTTACAAAATCAATGAAATTTATACCAGAAACAAGGGAGTATTTAATAATCATGTCTGCATTAGTTTGATATAAAGATGTTCACACTTTCATGACATTCCTTTAAATTATGACCTTTTTATATGTATATAATTTCCCTTCTACAATTTTATAGTTGTTAAACATATCAAACAAGATTTTTTTACAAATTATATATATCTACATTTGTACATATCATGTATATCATTTCATAACGAGGAAAGATCTATGTTTTGCTGATTAATACATATTAGGTCTGAATCTGTCTAGTATTATTATATAGATTGGGCAACGCATTCGTGTGGTAATTTTCTTGTATCCGTGTTTCCAAATATTACATTAACTATTAAAAGTAGATTGAAACTAAAATTCCTATTAGTCTATATATTTAACTTTGTTTGGTATGACTTTACATGTTACAAAATCATTCTTTTACTGATAACTGTCCATAGTAATTACACTAAACAAGTAACTTAAAAAAGATGTAACAAAGCAGAATTTAATTGATAAAGTATTTTATTTTTTACTTGAGACAGAAATTGTTGTATTTTTTAAACAGAAATATTTTTAAGATAGTTTCCGTATTTTAATTATCATCGACATGTGATTTGTTGGTGATATTTTATTGTTATTGATATTGTTGACATCCATGAATCGATTGTTTGTACAGTTATCTCATTCAAAATAAATAGATACAAACATTTGTACATTTTTTGTTTGAGTTTGCTGTTTCATAGATATATACACCCATTATCTCTATTCAATTGTATACAAACTAGACGTAATTATTGTCCTTTAAGTATCGCCTGCATCTGATTTGGTAGAATGTTGGACATAAGATGCTTAAAGGTTTGAAATTTCCATGTGGCATAGATAGTTTTACATCATTATAAAACAATACCTGCATAAAAATGACAATTTTTTTAATTTTGTAATTTTTCAAATTATTAGAACATATTAACTTTATTTGGAGTATAGAATCATTGCAATGTATAAATTGGACATGATTTTAACCTGGCCTGGCCAAAAGGCCTTGTGAGCCTTCAATGCCACCACTTTGCCTCCATTGTCTGACCAACAGGTTATTGTTTGTTGTCTTTGAAATTTTGTTTAAAACCTAATGCCTGACACTAGTATGTGGATTGAAGTAAAGTTTTCTGCTTCATTTATAGGATGTCTTTGAAGTTTTTAGACTCATCAACAAACATGGCCAATATGGCTTAAAATAGAATATAATGGTGAAACTGAAATATAGATAACTAGAGAAGGGAGAGAAAAAATTAACAAGGTAAAACTGTTCATTACACAAACTGTTCAAACCTGGATATATATTAGAAAAACATGTTGATTTGTTTGGAATTATTGCCCCTGAAATTAACTTTGGGGGAAAAACAAGACAAGGGCATGCTGTTTCCGGAGTTGGCGGGAGCAGTGGCATCAACAATGTTATTTTTGTGATTAGCTTACTTGATGAAGAACCTGCGTTATAGGTATGAACTATGGCACATCTCATTTCCATGGAGGTTCTTTGGCCACATTCCCCTCAGTGAGTCTTTAGGTTTGCACTCCGTCTGTCTGTCCATCTGTCAGTCCACAAATCAATTTCCCACCATTTTTTTTCTTTGTGCTTGAAGATATTGGTCAAGTCTATATATCAGATACTATAAGAAGTAGGTTTACTATATTTGGTATATGGAATGATTGTAAGATGTACACGACTAAGGGAGCTACCATTTGATTTTTAGGGGGGGGGGGGGGCTAGGATGAAATTTGAAAAAAATAGGCAGGACAGGAGTTTTGAGTAAGAAAAAAGGCAGGATGAGACACTTGCAAAAAAAAAAAGTCAGGATGACAATTAAGGTAAAAAAAAGTCAGGATAAACTTTAAAAAAAAAGGCAGGACCGAATAGAGTGAACAATAAAAAGGCAGGACAGAGATTACAACTAAAAAAAATGCAGGACAAAACTTTTCATCCTAGCCCCCTCATAAAAATCAAATGGTAGCTCCTTAACTGGTAAGGGTCATCCGACCTTGAACTCATTTTCATGGTTCAGTGGTCAAAGTTCAGTTTTTGAGTTTTGGTCAACTATATTTTATGATGTACATGTCAGTCTCAAATGTTTTATTTGACCTTGACCTCATTTTCACGGTTCATCTCTCAGTGTTGAGTTTTTTGTGTTTTGGTCTGTTTTTCTTTAACTATAAGCAATAGATCACCTATATTTGTTAGATGGAAGGATTTTAACGTGTATGTGTCTGTCTGGCATATATCATCTGACCTTGACCTCATTTTCATGGTTCATTAGTCAATTTTTAGTTTTCCTGGTTAAGTTTGTTTCTAAAAAACTTTAAGCAATAAGTTAGCTATATTTAGTGTATTGAATGATTGTAAGTTGTAAATGTATTTCATGCTTGGTATATATGACCTTGACCTCATTTTCTTGGATCATATTAAAGGGATACTAGCTGTCAAATTCATGTTCACCGTTTTTAATCAAATTCTAATATTTGATTTATAACAATGTAAAACATTTATCCAAACTATTAAAAGTCTAAAATAAACGATTAACAGGGCACGGGTATGAAAATACGTAGCTTCGTTTCGTGTGTTTTTAGTCTAGACCGCCATCTAATTAATTATCGAGTTGACCTCTAAAGTCATCATGACTATAAGGGGACGACCATTTGATATTCTGGGGGGGGCCAGGAGGATTTTGAAAATAAATAACTCAGCCTTGATAATCACAAAAATAAATGGTTTGTTCAGTGGTAGTTTGAAAATAAATTACCTGACTTGCAATGTATTGAAAATAAATAACTCAGCAGGTCTAATCAAAAGTATGAGATGGCACCAGATTCTTCATAAATTCATCTTTTTTCCAAAAAAAAAATCGGGAAACACTTCCCATATCTTTTAATAATAAAAGTATAAATATTATTTAAATATACTTGAAATGTCAGAAAATTGGTTTCATTTAACTTGAGGTTAATTGTCTCAGGAACACTTACCTCACTTTTATTAAATCAGGGCCGTAACTACATTGAGACAAATGCCTCATGTAGGAAATTTCAAAACCAAACGCTTGTCTCCATATCAAATTGTGTTCACTGTGAGTGCCTTGCAAGAAGCAAGTTCTGTTCTCCCTCAGATGTAGCCCCTGATTTTTCGGGATCAATGTTTCTTATTTATTTGTCTTTTGTTCATTGATTGCCCTTCTGTATTCTGTTAGTGTTGCATTCATTTTGTAATTTAGTAATTTTATTATTAACTTGATCATGAGTTTAAAAAAACACAGCAGCCACAGACTTAACTATGTGAATTACATTTTTGCTTTATCATGCATATTTGTCTTTTGATGTTGTTCCTAGAAACTTAAGTCTTACACTGAATCTATAACGTGATTTTGCTTTGAGACCAAAATATTGTCATAAAATTATTAAAACAGAACTTGCATTTTCAGTTTAAGAAAGGGTCTGGGGAACACCCAGAAGGCATGATTTTGCATCATTTGTTCTATAGCTTCTTGGGCCTTCAGCGGTTCAAAAACCCTTTAAAAAAAATTTTGCCTCGCTCCGCTCGGCAAAACATGTTTGCCAATACTTTTAAAAGAGCCTTAGTTACAACCAAACTTTAATACTGTGTATGTATGCAATACATGTATATGCATTGGGGAATATAGAAGATTCATTTCTGCAGAGGTTAATAATTAATTCTGATTAAATGGTACATAATGACTTGACTATACATGAATTATTTATAATAAACAAATTATTTAAAAATTGTATGTTTTCGAATATTATAAATATAGTTGTGAAAATAAATAATCAGTCCCTTGCTTTAATGAAAATGAAAAATCTTGCTTCAATAGTGCAGAAAATAGATAATCTGTCCTCTTAGTTTACAAAAATAAATAACCGATCCAAAACAAATCCTCCTGGCCCCCCCCAGAATATCAAATGGTCGTCCCCTAAGCGATGTAAACATAAATATAGATATAAATAGATTAAGCAAACTCGTGCTCTTGGATTATTCAATGTCTATTTGATTTCATATTATAGATGAAAAATAAGTGTTTATCATCGTTTTTACCTGTGTAAGAATGATTTTCTGTGGATTGAATCAGTCAATCAAATCTTAATGATTTACCTTTGTTTAACTTTCAATGTTGACATTCTTTTC